GTAGAGAGAGGAATTCCCATCTTCAAGTACACACTGATGTTAGAGTGACTTCATCCAGACCAGCAAAAGAGGCACAGTGATTCACGCGTACAACCATGCCTGAATGGTGACTGTAGGCATTGCAGGCATTGATCATACCAGCCCCAGTTTCAAACTATCTGACAATATGCTGCTAGCCAACTCAACTGCGGACTGTGATGACTTGGCCAGTTACGGCCATGCCATGCTGGAAAGAGATAAGCATATAAACATCTTAGAACTAACCAAGCTGTTTCCCTTGAAGTCTGTACAGATAAGAGTCCACAAAAAGCTTTAGTGATGCTAATTGCTCCTGGCTATCCATTTTAATCCTACACTGTGTCCTTCTTCAGATAAAAGGTTTCACTAGGAAAACCTTGTTTACTCTCCTGAAGTCACCAAGGAAGCCTCACAGGGCACCATGGCCAAGGATACCCTGAATACCCATGTTTGAGGAAGAGATCAAGGACCCAGCAGAAGTCTTTGTACAGACTAGAAGATGAAACCATGCTGCTTTGGGGAGAATATAAAGGTCCAGGAAATCCCTGAATGCTGAGCACCCTACCCCTACTTCTGGACAGGCAAGATATTTGAAAAGGCTCAAGGCCAAATGAGCCACTGTTTGGAAAGCATAACATTAAGGAGATTTCTAGCATTTCACAATAGAAACGATGTCTGTGAAAATGTCTAGCACACAGTACACAGTATAAACAGGGTATTAATCACTGTTATCACTGTTGAGAAACAGATTTGAATGTGGTCATCTTTTTCAGAAAGGACTTCTGTGGCTTCCCTTCTAATTCACTACCCAACTTATCTTATTTGTTTTTTATAAAGCCTCTAGTGACACTAACTCTCAGTAACTTCTAAGAACTTTAATCACCTGATGTGGTTTAGGATTCTAACCCTTCATGAGTTTAAGAGGAACTGTTTGCAAAGATGTTAGTCCAGTCACAATGAAAAGACAAAACACTGTATGATTCACTCTCAGGCATGAACTTGAAAGTGTCTATCATTTAGTCTGTTTATTCCATTTTTTTATTGGAGGAAAGAAAAAAGAAAACTAAATTCTGAAATATTAAGTCAGTTCAAAACCTGGACCCAAACTGGGAATCGGGTCGATATTCTCATTTTACAAGTCAAAATATTCCTTGAGCATGGAAACATTTTAGTATTAGATGTATGTTTAACATGGATACTAGGTGAATCTATATTCTTTCCATAATATTCATGCTTTGGAAGCTGAATTCTATGCTTTAAACATAAAATATATTTGATACATGTTACTTAGATTCAATTAAATTAAGTAGTAGTAATATGAAATATAGAACAAATTGTTCTATACAATGAATATAGTATTCACACATCTGGGCATGTAAAATGTATAAAGTGCCATATTAATGGCACCAACCACAAAGGAACCCATAGCAGACTAGAAGGAAATAGCTATTCATTAAGCTTGATATGTACATACTGACTTTAATGGTCCCCAAATTATGCTAGAAATGTGAAAAACAGCTTCTAAATATGAAAAAAATATTTTGTGGGTTGGATGCTTTAATTTTTAAAAATTCTAAGGTTATATTACTGAGAAAGTATATCTAATCATAGGTTACTTTGGGCAAAGCACCTAAAATGAAAAGAAATTAAACACCTTGATGTTTTTAAAGTAAAAACTGTTTCAAGTGGTATGTCGGCATGTTATTTCATTTCAGTACCTTTCATTTGATGCTGATGATGCTCTAAAAAGTTGGAAAGCCATCATACTGTCAGCTCCCTGCAGGTAGGGACCCTGAGCTCACTACAGAGTGGGCCCTGGATAATCACTGAGCAGGTGGCTATCAAGATCCCTGTGCATTCTTTTCTAAGGCTTCCCTAGAACAGAAACACTGGCTTCCTGACTCAGTGTCTTTTCAGAGTTATATCCCTTCAGTGATAAGCTTTCTCTCCTTCTGCTTCTGAGCAGAGACCCAGCTGCTCATCACAATCTTAGAGTAAGCCACAAAGTTTCCTTAAAGTTCTGAAATAAGTCTTCAAAAAAAAAAAAGCTAAGAAATACTGAATAAATTAAAGGTAAATAAATTTTAAAGATTTAAAATACGTTATTTCTGGATGGCTGAATCATATGCTCAGAAAATCCACTATAATGAAATAACAAGTAGCAGCTTGAAGATGATTCAAGTTATAAAATACATAAAGCACACACAGGACCAGCAAGATGACTTAGCGGGTGAAGTGCCTGCCATGTGAGCAAGCCTGACAGCATGAGCTCTATCCTGGAATCTATATAAAGACAGGAGGAGAGAACCGACGCCTCCAAGTTGTCCTTCAACCTCCATGCATGCACAATGGTGCATACATCCACACACACTAATAATAAGTATAATTTAAAATACGTGTTTGTGATGGGAAGAAGTGCAGAGATGACCGGTTACACTATTGGAGGCCCATGAACTGTAGACTAGTGGCTGTGAAGCCCCCATGGGACTGGACTAGGCCCTCTGGATATGGAAGACAGTTGTTTGGCTCGAACTGTTTGGGGAACACCCAGGCAGGGGGATCGGGATCCATCCCTGGTGCATAGGCAGGCTTCTGGGAATCTGGTGCCTGTGGTGTGGCACCTTGCACAGCCTTGTACAGTGGGAAGGGGCTTGGACCTGCCTAGGCTCAGTGTGCCAGGCTCTGTTGACTTCCCATGGGAGACCTTGATTTGGGGGATGTGGGGATGTGGGGTGGCTTGGGAGGGAGGGCTGGGAGATGGGAGGAGGGAGGAGGTGGGATCTGTGGGTGGTATGTACAGTGAGTAGAAAATTTCTTAATAAAGAAAAAAATAAAATAAAAATATATGTTTGTATTTTAACTGTAAAATTGTAAAAATCATTCACATGCTTTTAGAAATAAAAACCTATAAACATATATGGCTCATTTATATGTGTATGCATGCTTGTGAAAGTGAGCCTATGAATAATAGTATCCAGACACACAACATATATTCCCAAGACTTATAAGTGATGAGCTTTAGTAAGAGCCCATTTCTGATTTGCTAGATTAAATCCAATTTAAAAAATACTGCATCACAAGTACATTTGTGTATTTAATATTGAAGCAATTAAAATCAAACAAGAACACTTTTTAAACTTGGCATATTAATTATAAAATATAAAAGTTAAAAAGTAAACAATCAAATCAGGTAATAGTTTTAATATAATAACATGGAGTAATAATAGAAACACTAAGTCATGCATTTTACATAGTAGGAAAGCAGAAATAAATAAGATTTTAGATGTAAACCCAAAACATAGGATGAAATATAATAAGAGGAATATGTTATTGCTCATAGGACAGCTAAGGAAAACTAGGTATTAACAAGTGAAATCCAATATAGAGTAGTATTTGTAATTGAAGACAAAAGTAATTCTAAAAGCAATAAATTAAAGGAAAAAAAGCTTTGAAAAGTTTAATGAACTTTATATTAAAAAGCCACACAATGTACTTGTGCACACATACCAATTAAGAAAACAGAAAACCTGAAGATTAGAACACTTTGTGATAAATGTAACTACTGAAATATTAATATCTAGAACATCTAAGACATTTATTGAAGCAATGCTGGTCTTCAGAGACAAAGAGTCAAAGAAAAACCCAGCATTTAAACATTGTAAATCAGAAGAAAGTTACTACCAATACTTAAAAAGTAACTAAAACATACATAGAGCGGGCATTAGTGAAGTGTTGGGAAAACAGATATAGTCATAGCATTAAGGATTTAAGTGATAGAGTGTTATAAGAAAGGCTTTTATACTTTATTTTGTTCTAAGAGCCCTACTTTTTAAAATACATAACACAAGTAGTTTAAAAACATACTTTTACAAAGACTTGAACTTTATTAAAAACGGGCAAAGATGTTCATTATCATGAAACTGTTGATCAGATTAGGATATCCATAAAACAAAACTCTATGCTTTCTCCCTTCCTTTTCACCTAGGTAAATACCCAAAGTATAGATTTTTATGCTGTGCAAGAAGACCTTAAGTGAAGACAATCTACTGGTTCATCACTATTCTGACTACAACAAGAACTTCTAGGATCCACAGATTCCGAACATCAAAGAACTGATCTTCCACCTTCACAGAAACTCACAGTTCATTATTTTTTAATAACAGATATTACAAAAGTCCTACGGAGAAAAATTTAAATACTATATATCAAGTTGAATCTCCTACTTAGCTTTCCACAGCAATTCTTATTGGAAATTAGAAGGCTATGGTCAAACTTTCTGTGACATAACCATGAGAAAAATGATGGTTTCTAGACACAGCGCAAAACATAAAAGTTATATCCGTAATACACATTTCTAGACAAAGTGATTTTTATCTGTCTTAGATTACTTTTCTAACCATTTCAACATAGTCAATCTTATTTTAACATTCTCTTCATCTGTATGAAGTTTATTTCATCTCATGTAGAAATATTTTTCAGTTCTAAATTTCTTAACTGTATTATTTAATTTCTGAAAATTAGGGCCCATAATAAATATTGAAATGTTTATGAATGTATAATCAGTATTTCAGTGCTTTGTTCTCACTTTAAAAACTTCCCAGTGAGATATGGGATATATTCATATTATTCCATAATGCGTCCATTGTGGTAAGAAATTATATATCATCATTATCGATGCTTTTAAACAATCTTTATATAGCTTCCTCTAACTATAGCTTTACATCACATCTTACTATTTGTTAAAAATATTATTCTTTTAGATGACATATTTATGAATCAAACATTAAAAATATATAAGAAGTAAAAACTTTCAGCATCATAAACAAAATTTTAAAAACATAAAAACTGTGTAAATTCACTATATGCTGCACTGATGTGCACAGGAAGCTAACTAAGTACATTTCTGAAGGGAAAAGGTGGAATCAAATAAATATGCAACCATCTTACAGCTTTGTTTTACCTTAATAAAAGCAAACCTTTACCTGTGCAAGCATGGGAAAGCCAAGGTTCCTACATCCGTTACAAGGAGTTAATGCTTCCCAAAGTCCTGTGGGCCCACAAGTGTTTGGATCCTCCTCTTCTTCTTCCACTTCTCCTGGTGACAAATTTATTGTAGATGAAGTTCTCTGAAATCAAATTTATATTATACCAATATATTATATCAATGTTGTTTATGTATCATAACATCAATCAAATCACATAACTGACTCGCTTGCATGTCTTAGCAAGCTGGCTCACTTCCAGCCTTCTTGCCACCTTACATTTTGGCTGTACTAGGCCAAACATACACATAATTCAATTCAAGTTTGAAAGTGAGGAACGTCGGTGAGAAAGACATAAATGAATGAAGTTTGTAATGGGGAACAGGACATGACAATGACCCAAGAAAATATGTGAAGAGTAACAAAGGAGAAAAATCTTATGGTTTGTCAAGAATTGAAGTTTATCCATAGGATTAAGGGAAATACAAGGAGGCTAATATGAAATACTTGAATGGAATAGGAATTACTGTAAGAAATGCTTTATGGAGGCCACCAAAAGCAAACCCCACAAAGTATTTTGATACATATGACAGGGATAAATAATACCCTTAAATTTTACAAGTAGATTACGTGCAACTGTGCACACTCACTCTTGCTACCTCCCAAATCCCACTCAAGTAACTGTAAGAGGTTTATAAAAACTCATCAACTATGAGACAAAGGCAACAAGACAAGCAGAAGCGGATGAGCGGTACCAAGAACACGTGTGGACAATGACGGGTGACCCAAGTAAGAGACAGGGAGGCATTAGCCAACAAACAAGAACTTGAAAGGAAAGCGACTGCACTGTTGAATAGTTGGGGAGGCTGACAGCTCCTGAAGCTATGAGTGAAACAGGATCTAAACTCAGTGTCTGAAGGACCACACCCCAAGCCTAACTTCTCCACAAGAGACCCGAGTTAATGTGTTTGTGGTAAATGAAGACTCACAGCTGACCCACTGCTTCCCAGAAGTGCCTCATCATCTAGGATAGCTAGACTTATATTTCATAGGTAGAGGACAAGAATATGCGTCCCCGTAGACACTAATTTTGGCATAGTTCGGATATGGTTTATCGCCTCCCAAACTCATGTTGGAGTTCCATGCCCACTGAGAAGTATTAAGAGGGTTGAAATTTTATCCAGACATGGAGTCTGGAGGAGGGGGCTTGGAAAGGTGAATGGACAGGGTCATTAGGGTGGAGTCCTCTGACTGAACACTGATAGATTTTCAAGAAGAGATGGAAGCGAAAGGAGACACATACATGCTGCCTGTCTCTTGACATGGGCGTTTTTCTGCCTCAGGACTCTGCCAGCAAGACGACCATCACCTCAATCTTATACTACAAAAATGAGCCAATATAAACCTCTTTTCTTTAAAGGTTACCTAGCCTGTGTTACTGAGTAATTGGTACAGAGAAGGGACTAACAACCTTCCTGAGAAAGATAATCTATGACAAATAATAAGGAAATGGTAAAGTCTATGTTGTTATCAATACTATGAAGCCAATGCCCCCCAACTGTCCAATAGTAAAACATTTCTTAATGTTTCAGTTACATATAAACAAGGGTTGTCATATATTTGAAGAAAGCTTCTAATAAAACAAACCATTTTTTACTACATTTTCCTCAGGGGGCTAGAAGATATCCATGAAATAAGAATAGAATAATACCATCAAATACATGCATTCGTACATAAATAAACACATACATGTATATACATGCACATATAAGTACAAACACGTACTTCAGTGGAAGAACTAGAAAAAAAATCTGATTAAATTTCCTAACAGATAGAATATAAAAAGAAATTAGAAATTAAGAAAAATGAGGAAATTTCTAAGGCCCCAAACTGTAACAAGGAGAGTTTTATAATCATTAGAAAGAGAATATAGATAAGAAGATCAAGGAAATGATAGAAGAAGCTTTTCAGGAATTAAAGAAAACGTCTATTACCAAAGGCCCTGCTGAATGCTCAGTGGGCTGAATGTTAAAATATGCATGTATAAATTAAAAAAATAACAAATGCTGGCATGGATGTGGGGAAAGGGGAACACTTATTCACTGTTAGTGGAAGTGCAAACTGAGGCAGCCACTGTGTAAGTCACTGGGGGAGGTTCCTCAAAAAGTTAGATACAGATCTTCCACATGTTCTGGCTATTTCATTCTTGGGAATATACCCAAAGGACTCTATATCCTACTAGAGAAATATTTGCTTATCCATGTTCATTGCTGCTTTATTTACAATAATCAGGAAATGGAAACATCCTAGATGCTCATTGATGGGTGAATGAATAATGTAGCTGTGATATGTTTACATAATGGAATATTATTTAGATGCTAAAAATGAAATTATTAAATTTTCAGGTAAATGAATAGAGCTGGAAACACTCAGCCTGAGTGAAATAAAATCCAGACCCAGACAAACAAATGTTGTATATTTTCTCTCATTTATAGATGCTATCTCTGAATCTTTAGATATTTGTGTTTTATTTGAAACACCCATAGACGTCGGTAAGGGGTCCTGGGGGAACTATTAAGAGAGGGGAGATAGAACAGACAGGCATAAATGGGGGAAGATGAATTGTGGAACAGGAAGGATTAAATGGGGTGTGGGATGGGATGGCAGGGTAGAGAAGGGAATACTAGAGGCTTCAATCCCAGTGCTAGCTTTTATAGTGAGTGCTATATGGTGCTATGCATGCTGCCAGAGAAGAAAACTGATCATGAATTTAACCCAGCTATGAACGCTGTGAGCTACAATAGTAACCTGCTTGATAAGATATGCCAACTGGTGCAAAACTGGCATGAAGGTAATGGACGCAACCAAGCGCTTTCTGGTTGTGTTTAACGGCCTCATCCACAAGATGGAACTCATACTTGGCACCATTATCAGGACTAGGAACCTGTGGCTAGACAGATCATAGGTCCTAGGGAAGAACCTACCATTCTTTTAAGTGGACATAGGATTTAACTAATTATCAATGGCTTATTATTTTACCTGTAGATTAGCGCATCTCTCAGACATCAGCAGAGAAGCTTCTTTTTGCAGTAGATGGTAATCAACACAGAGACCCACGTGTTACTAAGATGAAGAGAATAAGCACAGCAGAGTGCTCAGCTCTAAATGGTATTCCTGTAACACATACCATCTTCCCAAGACTCAGGGACCAGGGGCAATGAATGATTAACAAGGAAATCATTTTCCAGACACAGCAAGGCAGTTGTACATACCACTGCGACAGTATACGCCCTGTGAAAGTCCAAGTCAAACACAATCCAAGCCTGGAGCAAGGAGGTAGGCATTAAGTGCCACCCCTAAAAGAAGAGCTGCTGGGAAATTCATTTTCTTTAAACATGTGGTACCTGTGGATGCCCACATCCAGAGTATATGAGTAGCACCAAGAGGACTCATTGTGTTTTTTTGTTTTTGTTTTGTTTTTAAAGAAGTTGGGTGTGTAGGGAAGGGAGTAGATATGGAAGGAGATGGGGGTGAATATGAACAAAATACACTGTATGAAATTCTTACAGAATTCATAAGAATATTCTTTAAGAATTTTTAAAATTAAAAAAATTAAACTTTGTAAAGGTCTTCAGAACGCAGTGTTCGGTACAATACTGACGGATCGCCATTATTAGAGTTAGTAAAGATACTCGATTGTAAAGCTAAAGATGTTCTTTTCTTCCCATTATAAGTGAAACTGATTTTCCTACACCCGCATTTTAGCTTTCCCTTTATCAACTGCCAATAGCTAGAAAATAGTAGAATTAAACAGTCTCTTAATGAATTAGTTATTGTCTCACATTATTCTGAAAACTTTCTATGTGGCTTGTAACATCATGGGACCGTTTTGTGTTAATTATTCTTATTCACAAAACAGCCCTTAAGGCAAACACTAGTTTCTCTTACTTTATAAACAAGAAAACTGAGGCACAGAGAACTTGAGTAAAACCCAAAACTGGCAAGTGGGAAAAAAAAGAGTTTAATCCTGAATCCCAGACTGAAGACCTTTCTTGATTGCAAGATTACAAGACCTCTTGTCTTATACATAACCTTGTAAACAGCAAGAGATAAAAGAACTAGGCTTATGTACTGTACTTTAAACAAAATATGCCTATTTTAATGCTTTTATTATATGATGATAACTCTGCGAACATTTTGCCATCTGCAACAGTAAATGAAATTTTCTGTAATTTGGTACATATCAACCCACAGTTTCTTAAATACATATTTATTAAATAACCAGTAAGAGGTGTTTGTCACACCAACTTTCTCACTCTGAAGACCAGACCCTCTATCTTGCAAAGTCTAAAACATTAATCTAATGTATGGAGGTAGAAAAAAACATCATCCTGAGTGAAATAACTCAGACCCAGAAAAGCAAACAGTATATATTTGTTTATACATGGAAGTTACCTGTTAAGTCATTGACAAGCAAGCTACACTCTGTATAACCATAGAGGTCAGGTAGAGAGTAAAGGACTAGGGGCGTGGACCTCCCTAGGAAGAGGAAATAGAATATACAGTTATGAATGGATGGGAGGAAAGGGAGACTGTAGTGGGAGAGACAAACTGGGACGGGGAGGTAAGAGGGGACTGAGGAAGGGAATACCGGGAGAGACAGCAAAACTAAGGGCCATTTGAAGAATCATATGGAAACCTAATACAGTAGAAGCTTCCTATAATATATACATATATGAAGATGCTCTAAATAAAATCGCCAAATATTGGAGGAGACAGAGCTCCAAATGGACATCTCTGGTCACCAAATGAAGCTTCCGGTACCAGGAATAATTGAGTTGTTGGCCAAAGGGGTTCCATGGCAATCCCCAAACAAACCAAGTTATTGCCAAGGCTATTGATGGTAAGGCCCTATTACTGAAGACAACACCCACACAACTCACTGAACATGGAGAAGCAGAACCAGTGCCTGCCTAAAGCCCTCACCACTAAGGACTAGTATCCATGGTACCAGAAGGTATTCTGCATTCTACCAAAGGAAAAATGTGAACACCAACCCAGCTATACACCCTTCAATCTACAAGAGTGACCTGCCTCCAAGATATGCAATAGTGGCACAAAACATGTGTAAGCAACCACCCAAT